AGACATCATTCAAGAGTGTCTTCAACAGGAATTTAAAATATAGTGTATTTTTTTTTACATTATAACAATGCCAAATAAGCATACAGCCCGTCCGGTAGTGACAGTCATAGTAGTACGTGGACATTTGTGTCATCGGGGATGACTCGCCCTTTTGTAATTTTCGATCATATTTATTTTGAGTTACGTTTTACTCTTGATGTGGTATTTATTCTACTGTCAATGTTTTTATTGTGTGATTTAATAATTTGCCAAGGAATAACCATATGTTCCACTATCATATCCCACTACCATTTATCACAATATAAAATGATTTAGGAATAGCCAAAGCCATAAAAAAGATATAAAAGTAGACACTTGTATCAATGAATATGTTTGAAGGGACATCAAAGTGTAAAAGATTGAGTTTATACCAATAATGATATGCAGGAAGCCAGGCGGGCACCCAATAGGTAAGTAGATGCTAGTTTAGTACCTCAGCGATAACAAGTAGGCATTTCAGAAGTTGACAATACACGGAGATGACGCGGGCCGGGCGGCGCGCCCCGGAGCCAGAGGTCGTCTCGCAGTTTACTACAGTTTTACTGCTTCATAACAACAACCGTTCACAGCGAGCAGTAAAAAAGAATTGCTCTCAAATCCTTAGGCTTTGCCGTCTGTTTACTATCAAATATTTGCAGTTGGGGCGAATCTTACATTTGAAGGCATTCGTAGTGAGGTTTAGTATGATCCCCAGTGACGGCAGGCCATGTAGAGCGGTCGTTGGAAAGGATGCAAGTCGATGCTTTCTGCTGTCGCTTAGGCAAGGGCTTTTGTGATATGAGATAAGGGAAAGTTACGTAATGTCATGAGTCATAAACCGCGAGTCAGAGTGGAATGATCTCTCCTCCTCCGCCGCCGCCGCCACCACTACAGCAGGTTAGGAGTTTACTTTGCTTTTATCAGTTACCTGTTATCATACTTACAAGACGACACAGCTATTGTTCTAGAATGTTCGTGAGATCCTGGAACAATTGTTGTTTTACAAAATAATGTTTATTATACTTAATTAACACTATAGACCTTTGCTACCAGTTAGTAGATGTAGGGATCTTAACACTTCCCATAATTTATTAATTATATTATCCAGTTTCTCTTAGGACAATTCTGTGGAGTTTATGGTAAAAGTTGAACTTGAGCTGTTTAACAATGAAGACGAATGATGACCTTTGATGAAAGTGGTGTAATTATTTTTCAAATAAATAGTTAGATGATTATTTAAAAATATGATATTTTTAGGTTTTCATTGATGGGTGAAAATGGTATGGTAACCCCGCCTGCGCTAACGGGATACGCTGGCGGAGCATCAGTGAAAGGTGATAGATGAGAATGATAACAGGCCAGTTAGCCCATCATGATGAATTCATCAGGAATTAACCATGATAGTTTCCAGGGGAAATCGCGAGGAGGTCGACCTGGTTGGTTATATTGCTAGCAATGGGATTCTCAGTCTCCATTACTAACAATCCCTTCCCCCCGATATTTTTAGGTTGTACGTGTCGATGTAATTGTAATTTATCTTGAGCATAAGTCTGTTAGTATAATGGCAGCATTCTAAACAGTGTCACATACATATAAGGCATCGTCAAAGGCTACTCCTAATCAGAATGATAAATTTGTACAGTTGATTTAAATGAATAGATACTAATTTTTAAATAGATAAGAGTTCAGGGTCAAGTTTAGAACTCGATCAGAAGTAAGTTGATATTGTTTAAAGATAATAAAACGAATCACACTGTTATTTATTTTCAACTACTTAATATTATAACGAAGAAAGATATTATTGTTTGTTTACCTGTTTGTAATAGATAATAAATTTAATTATTTTTTATTTATTTATTTTCTCCACAAAATTTACAGAAAAATACAGTTACATGAAAAAAATACAACTATATATGTATGTATAATTAAAGTGGTCTGTAAAACTTGTGGGAGACTGGACCCTAAACTAGATCAGAGATCTGTATCTCAGGAGTCCAGGCCCCCAACTCGGACACCATGTACAGCTTGCATTAAGCTAAAATTAAAATTTGTGAAAACGAATATACAAAACAAAATAAAATGTGTGTGTGTGTGTGTGTGTGTGTGTGTGTGTGTGCGTGCGTGCGTGCGTGCGTGCGTGCGTGCGTGCTTGCGTGAGTGCGTGCGTGCGTGCGTGCGCGCGTGCGCGCGTGCGCGCGTGCGTGCGCGCGTGCGTGCGTGCGTGCGTGCGCGCGCGCGTGCGTGCGCGCGTGCGTGCGTGCGTGCGTGCTCGCATGTGTGTGTGCGCGCGTGCGTGCGTGCGTGCGTGCGTGCGTGCGTGCGTGATGCGTGCGTGCGTGCGTGTGTGTGTGTGTGTATGTGTGTGTGTGCATAAATAATCTTTCAGTTATGGAAAGCTATAGTATCCGTGAGTAATATAGAGTACATATTATTTTGGAAAATTCTAACTACCCGTGTCAAGTCGGGCCATGTCACTAGTTACAATATAATATATATTTTTTAATATGCATTTTATATGCCAATTTGAAATGGTAAACTAGCTGGCGGCTCACCTCATGGAAAATTGTAACCGTCGCTCACAGACGTGAACAGCACCATGAATCATAGAATATATGCTCATGGCATTCCTCACGCTTTCCACTTGCGGATTTAAATCAATTTCTCAGTGGTAAAGGCGACTTAAAAAAAGTGTATGGACAATGTCCTTGTGTATAGCTAAAAAGTCCGCTGTTGATTCTGGGGTGGGCATCAGACAATTCTGAGGTGGGCACGGCCCACTCTGCCCCCCTCTAAATACGCTTATAACGCTTTCCCAATAAAATTTCATGACCGTCTCATTTTGCAGAAAAACTATTGACTTTAATGAAATATGGCTTCTTATTACGAATCATGGTATTTTACGATAGTGTCTGAAGGTGCTGTTTCGTCACATTTTTTATTTGTGGGACACGATGGGCTGGGTTCTGTGTGCAGGTTGTTTATGGTCGAATGCAGCGATGGTGGACTCATTGAATAAACAAGGGAGTTTCAGCAAATCAATTTTAGATGTAAATTGTTTGGAAGACTATAATACAAACTCAAGATTATCTCCTGCTTAATATGAATTGTTTTAAACCTCTGTGTTTGGGAATGGCAAATAACCTGTGATCTACGTGACGGAGAGTGGTGATCATCGCCTATAGGTACAGACCTACTCGAACATCAGTATTGTGGTACAGTGCAGCGTAGGTATACCGGTTTCATAATTATTATTGTATCTAATAGCCAAATATCGGCGAGCATAATTGATTCCATTATCATTTACCGTATAGTCAATAGGATATAGGTATGAATTAATACAGAGTCGGCTTCGTTCAGGTTCCAACTCACTACTGTGGTGGTGAATTTAAAAACATGAGATTTTTTTTTTTACAACACTGGGGGCAAACGAGCATGCGGCTCACCTGATGGTAAGTGACTACCGCCGCCCATGATCACCCACAACACCAGCGGCATTGCAGGTGTGCTGCCGGCCTTTTAAAAAGGAATATACTCTTTTCTTGAAGGTTATGTTGTCGTATCGGTTCGGAAATACTGCTGCTGGAAGTTGATTCCAAAGAATGGTTGTGCGTGGAAGAAAGTGCCTTGAAAAACGCACGGTGGAGGAGCGCCACTATACATGATGTATTCGATAAATGCGATCAAAAATTACATGTTCCAGTTCACGGGGCAGTAAGACACGAAGCCACAAGCGCTATGAGGGTCTCGTTTATTGAAATTTAATTTTTACTTTTTTATATAATACAGGGAGCAAACGAGCATGCTGCTCACTTGATGGTAAATGACTACCGCCACCCATGATTACAACATCAGAGGCATTGCAGGTGTGCTGCCGGCCTTTTAAAAAGGAGAGGAAAAAGGATTTTTTTTTCTTTTCTTGAAAGACATCGTAAATTTCGTATGGGTTCGGAAACACTATTGCTGGAAATTGATTCCAAAGCGTGGTTGTGCGTGGAAGAAAGTGCCTTGAAAAACGCACGGTGGAGGAGCGCCACTATACATGATGTATTCGATAAAAGATGCATAGAGCTGCAACGTCTTTACGCAGTTTCACTGGGTCGAGTCGGATAGCAAGGCGTTGATCATCAATTATTTTAGATGCCCGACTTTGAATACGGTCCAACGGAAGGAACTGGTACTGTGGCGTTTCTGCCCATAAGTTAGAACAGTATTCCATATGTGGTCGAACTTAAGTTTTATACAATTGCAAGCAATAAACTGAGCAAATAGGGACAAATAGTGTATACCAACAGCGCAGACGGGGTTACTGTTCCATTATCACCTATTAAAAGACATACATTAAAGCTGAGTGGAGCCATTTCAGTGCATTTTTGCATGTAAAAATGATTATTTTATGTTTATTTTTAATTATGGTAAATTAAGTTTAATTATATGTACATTTTATTTGCTCATTTTTTTTTCTCGTTTGTTGTTTATATTGTATTTTTTACATTGCACTGAATAAAATATTTTTCTTTCTTTCTTTCTTTCTTAAAAATAGGTATTGTGAGGTTATTTACCTTTTTATTCTATTTTATTTTCTCAGAAAAAAATAAATAGATAAGTGTAATAGTTTGGATGAATTCTACATCCACTAATTGTAATAGTACAGACTCATGACTATAGGCCCATGTGGGGTAGACAGAGGCATCGTCGAGTCATTTGTATCGTTGCGTTGAGCGTAATATCGGAGCGTTCATTTCATAATTGAATGATATTAACAATAAATTATGTACGTGTGGATCGGTGTTTGTATTCACGTGAGCGCTATCAGCTGCGGACTAACGGTCATGATCACCGACACGCCGCCACTCGAAAATAAAACACAATGCGATGGAAAAAACGAGCGAACGCCGAGTCCGACGCGAATCGATAACCGACCGAGTGGAATTTATAAAAGTAGCCGGCCGGAGCCGCACGCCGCACGCCGCACGCCGCACCGCCCCTGCCGCGGCCCCGGCCCCGGCCCCGGCCCGAGCGTCTGCGCTCTTGCTTTTTCACGTGTTTCCGTGTCTGCGCTCCTCTGTCGAGCGCGCGGCGGCCGCGTGCGAGCGAGACGGCCGCGTTTGCTCGCGTGCTTCTCAGTGCGCGTGTCTGTTTGCCGTTATGCGCGTTGCCGTGTCTGCTCCGCGATGTCGGCCCGGTCTGACGTGCTCGTCATATTTTTTATTTTTAAGTAAATTTAAATATTTATTTACTAGTTTCTTGTGCAAGTGAAAGTGTGTCAGAGTCGAAACGGTTAGTGCGTGTCTCGTGGCGCGTCCGTTCGGTCATAGAATAATCATGTCACAGAGTTTGTCGGGTTCCGGGGAGGAGAGCAACGGCGGGGCGGCGGGCGGTGCGGCGGCCGGGTCGGGGGCGGGGGCGGCGGCGGCTGGTGGTGGCACGGGCCGGCCCGAGGGCTGCGACGTGGGGCGCATGGTGGACTCGAGCCAGGCGGACGACCGCAAGATGATCCGGCTGGTGCGCGAGCGGCGCCTCCTGTACGCCAGGAACAACATGCCCGTGGCCAGCTTCCACTCGCAGGTGAAGCGCCTGTGGCAGCAGGTCGCGGATGAGATGGGCTGGACCGGTACGTCACCGTCACCTCCCTCACAGTCACAGGTCACCTACGGACGCACCTGCTATTGTTTTGTTTATCACTTTGTAGGCGACTTAAATACGAGGTCGATGGCCGTCACGGCGCAGTATTGTAGTTGGTCCGATCTAGTGCGTTGCTGTGAGTAAACGAGTTTCTAGGTTTGATTCCCCGGTGGAGCAGGGTGTGAAAGGAATCATATACCTATTTCTGATGATTGTGCTTTCTATAGAAAGCCATTCTATGTATAGAATGTTAAATAGATCATCGGTTCATGAATGAACCTAGCGTACGGCTTCGTGAATACGCGGCTTCGAGTTCGATTCTCATAGTCTCTGAAGAAAATTTAGTTCTGTTTATGAGTATATATATGTTTTAAATGACATTAGGTATATTTACATACTATCCGAGTTGTAATGATGTTTGGCAGATTAGATAAGCTTCGTATCTAATTGTTGTAAAATGTTATTATTGTATATTCCCTGTCATCTTCAAGTAAGATACGTTATGTATGGTAGTATGATTTATTAAGAAGACATACGGCCCACCTGATGGTTTTAATTGTTTTCCTTATTAGCTAAATAACACAAATATAACGCCAGGTTAAAGATTAAAACGATCCAATAAGCCTTTTTTGATTGTCATTCTAGTTGAGCCGGTCAGGTAGTGATCCCACTGTTCTACTGGTATACTAAATGTGAAAGTTTCTACAGATATACGGCTGTTTAGACGTTTAAAACTCAGTGGAATGCGCACGGATGGACCGATTTTAATGAAATTCGGTGCACAAATAGATCATATCCTAGGTTAACACAGGGTCAGGGAAAACTACCTTGAGGTGAACTGTAATAATAGAATTAGTAACATTTTCTTCTAAACCCGAACTGGTATTCTCACAGCCGCCCACCTACTGTGCTGGCAGTAGGTACCACGACGCGTACCGCGTAGGTAAACCCAGTGTAAGTAATAGTATCACAGTGTAAGCTTCATATTTCACGTCACCATTATTTATCGTATTTTTAAGCGATTTCTTATAAAAGAGGAGATGCTGGATTCGCCATATACCGAATTACGCAATAAATTTTTATATTTTTTTTTTCACAAACCATATATTTTATTCCCCTGTTGGTCTCGTATTAAATCTGTCACCATTGATGTAAATATTCTGCGAAGATGTGTTCAGGTTTTTTTTTTCAGGGATGAAAAAGCAACGGTAATCCCGTCTATGCTATTAGTATACGAGTACGCCAGCAGGATACCAGTGAGAGATGAATAAAAAGAATGAAGTCGGGTCAGTTGGCCCATCGTGATTAATTCACCTGGAATTAACAGCGATGGTTTCCAGAGGGTACCGCATGGGGGTCGACCTGACAGGGTATATTGCTAGCAATGGGGTTATCAGTTCCAATTACTAACAATCCCTCTCCTTCCAGTGTTCGGGGTGTCATCATTTCAGCCATTATCCGTCCACTGTTGGACATAAGCCTCCCCCATAGACTGCCATCAAGAACGATCCTGAGCCATCTGCATCCACTGACTCCCTGCAATGCATTTCAGGTTGTCACTTCATCTAGTGGAGGCTCGTCCTACACTGCGTTTACTCGTACGCGGTCGCCACTCAATAACCTTTCTTCCCCATCGATTGTCAGTTCAATTCAATTCAATTCAATTCAATTTATTGCATTCTACAATATTATTATGAAAGATGTTAATAATGGATAAAGTACATTGTAGACCGTGTCGGGCGCAGCAATTAGAAGCGAGGAGGGCGACGATCCTTAAATTGTCATATAGATTTAAATAATTCCATTTCAATTTCATCAATTTAATTAAATTCTAATTAAATTCCAAATTAATTTAATTATTTTATTATTTTAACGATTTTTTTTATTTCCATATGTTTTATTTTATTTTAATGCAATTTAATGTAGTTGTTCATATTTTTATATCTTTTTAGTATCATTATCAATTTTAGTATTATTAATTAATAATTAATTATATATAAATTATATTTATATATTATGCGTTATTTTATTATTAAAAATTTTTCCTCGAGCTATGTGACCAGCCCATTGCCACTTCAGCTTGCTTATCCTTCGGGCTATGTCTTGTATTTTAGTTCTTTTGCGGCTATCCTCCTTTCGGATTCTATCACGCAAAGAGACTCCGAGCATAGCCCTCTCCGTGTTCATAGTTCGGGGTGTGGCAGGTAATAAATACACAGTTGTGTGTTCACACAAAACGTGCGTGTATCTGTTTGTGCAGAGACCAGACAAGAGATATCGGATAACGTGAAAGATAACTCCTCTTATCGTTATCTCGAGCACTGATAATGTGTGCAGGGAGGTACAGGGAGTGAGGGCAGGCGGAGGATTGTACGAGACAATAAACCGCGCGCTCACTTTATGGATATTTTCGATGGACCAAAAAGTATTTCGATTATTTCTATATTAATAACTTTATTATGCTGTGTAGATACTTATTATTTTTATTTCAACAAGCAATTCCCGTAGTTCTTTGTACAAAAGTCGTTTGCTTGGGTACCTCTGTCCCATTCGTGTTTCAACCGTGAAGCTGTTGCGTTTGCATGGCTGTGTTTCGGTTCGAAGAGTGGGATATGGCGTGAATTTACTGGGTACAGAGGATTAACACCTGAGTCCTCAGGAATGGCAACGCATAGGGGGTATCATGGGCGAAACTGTATACTCTGTTATGTCCATGGTACTGCTCATGTCTATAGGCGACAATTATCACTTTCCATCAGGTGGGCCGTCAGCTTGTTTGCCATTCTAAGTTGTATAAAAAAAATTCAGTTGTGTACACTTCGAGTCACATGTTTCACCAAAATACTGGTATGCCATTAATGAGATAAAATACCAAATCAGATAGATAGATAGATAGATATTTGCATTACTTACAGCACACAAATTACAACATATATAGATATACATAAAAAGCGAGATAACATAAACGATTAAAAAAATACATAAAGCTAAGTACATTTTTTGTCAAAATGGTCACAACTCAGTTTATTGCTTCGCCCTCAAAAGAGCAAAGCACTGATATTCTGTTGCGGCCAAAGGGAATAGGGTAACAATAAAACAATACTACCAGATTATCCATACAGTAAATAGACAGATACACCTACTGTAAACAGACAGATATGACAGTCTATCTAGCAGACAAATGGAACATGGAGGTCACTTGCTGGAATGTCCAACTTTTGCCTCTCGATTAAAATTTTTTTAAAATTAATTTTGAAATTAACATTCATAATAAAAATAAAAAAAATATAAAAACAATATTGCAATTGATAAATTGTTACCTTAGATTGTTACATACACTATACTTCAATATTACTAAAAAAAATGTTACTAACTATACTAATTACTATACTATTATATAACTAACTACACTATTATTTTTTAATAATAATAAATATTATTATTTATTATTATTAAAAAAAAAAACCGTCGCCTGTAAACATGTGCCCATACTCCATTTCAGTGCCATATCTGACATTTCAAATCGAAACACAGCCTAGCAAGCGCCGCTGCTTCACGGTAGAAACATGGGTGGAACAGAGGTACAGTTTCCCACTGGTGGGGGAAAAGGGATTGAAGCAACGAGATTCAACAACCTCATTGCTAGCAATACACCATATCAGGTCGACCTCCAAGCGGATCCCTATGGAAACCACAGTGGTTAATTCTTGTTCAATTGGTCACTATGGGTCAACTGACCTGCCTTCATCCTCACCTGTCACCCTTCACTGGTGCCCCGTCAGCGTATACTGATAGCGCAGGCGGGGTTACAACACCATTTTCGCCCATAAAAAATGTTTCCCACGAATAAAAGAGGGAGTATAATAAAATACTAACTGGTTGTGCGTTGTTGTATGTTGGCGTGGCGCAGTGGCGGACGTGCGGCGCAAGTGGTCCCACATCCGCAACTCGTACTCGCGCCACCTGCGCAACGAGATGCACGGCGCGCGCACCGCCCGCGGCCGCACCGTCTCGCGCTGGTACCTCGCCGACGAGCTCGACTTCCTGCGCGAGCACATGGCCACCGACACGTCAGTACCGCCGCTGTACGCTCATTGTTACCACACTTTATTCAAACTCCGTCCCTCAATACAGCTCTCCCTCATATTTTGCCATAAAATACGGTCTAAGGTTAATGTAGCCCCTGGACATGAACTGGAATCCTGGAATGAAATGAAAAAGAAAGGAATTCTCAATAATGGGGAGAATACGCGGAGTAGAACCGAGATTGACCCCGCATATTCATGTTTGGAAATAATCGTGGTTAATTCCTAGTGAATTAACCACGATGGGTTAACTGGCCTGACTTCATCTTGATCTATTGTTTTATCCATAGCGAATTGGTATTCTAGCTTTTTCTAAAGCCCATTGAGCAACCTTAGACCTTATAACTAACATGTTGCCTACTTGTGCAAATAACGTGGATGTACTGCAACAATTTCGAAGTACATATAAATATTATGATAGTTATCTTTATGTTGGAAGTACATTGACCGCTTGCCATCAGGCGGGATGTGTATTCTTTAATGAATTACTTAAAAAAAAAAGAAATAATGTACTTACCGCATAACGTTGTCAATTAGAGACTATACAAAGCCTAAATTGGTTGGGTAGCTACATTTCTATCCCCAAGTAGCTTGCTTGTGCTATGTTTCAGTTAGGATAGGATATGACAGTGAAATTACTTTTATGTCAGGAAAAGAAACAAAAGTCCGGTAATAATTTAGGTGTTGCAAACGCAATGGATCATGGCGGGGTGCTTCCATTAAACGTGGAGCAGATTTTAACTCATCTACGGTGGAATCCTCGCTATAATTCGAGGAGTTTCCAATTCGGCAACGATGCTCTTTATGTATGAATAATGTATGAAGTTAGTAATAACCATAACAACTGCATATTAAGTAGAGTAACTTGTACAAGTACCGGTGTAGTTGGGCCGCTTTCCACCTTGCAAGTACTGTGGGGTTTTACATTAATAAACACAACTGTTTAGCACTCGGCTAACGTAAGTACACGATGTTTGCAGGCGACCGTCGTACTCGAACACGTATGCGCCGACATTCCTCGAGATGGACCTGTCGGAGCAGCCGGCCGCGCAGTCCGCCGACCACGTGGACATCAAGCCCTTCATCCAGAACCCGTGGTTCTCGCTCAGCACGTCACACATGAACGCGTCGCTGGAGCCTAAGACGGAGCCGTACAACCACAACGAGGACAGCGCCAGCTCCGCCTTCGAGCCGGACGAGAACTCCTCGTACTTCCAGTTCTTCCGCGGCATCCACAACGACTATTTGGAGTTGACGCCGAAAAGCCGAAGGCTGTTCAAGAGACAATGTCTGAGCTTCCTTCACGGGCTGCTGGACCTGCAGGAGAATCAGAACACTAATAACTATGATCAGAGTGACGCGATGAATCTCTCAAATTCGGTGAACTTGAGCGACGAGGAGCCGGAGCGCAAGGTGTGCGTGGTGAACAACGCGGACAATTACAGTATACTGCCCAACAACTAGTGGTGCGCACCCGGCGTGGCCCGCTACTGTACACTACGCGCAATAGCTGAGGGTGGATATTTGTAAGAACATTTATAAAGGTTTGTTTGACATTCCAATTGTTGTGACGATTATTTTCGTTGTTTGTTCGCCATCGCGAACATTCTGTTCTAGTTTGCGTTCTTGATGTCTAAGTCCACCTTACGTTTTCTTAATTAGAATTAGGCAATCATATTTATAGTTAATTCTTATTTAGAGTAAACAAAACACAAATGACAATCTTTGCTATTTGTAACAGTCATGTAATCATTAAAATTATTTATCGATCACCTATGACCCTCTTTATACTGTATATATAATAGAATATAATGATAGAGGGCTTTGATACTTGGATCTCTCTGCCTGCTTCGTCAGGGACACAGGGTGAAGGCAGATAAGTAATTGATTTCACAACAGTTAACACGGTATCGATATCAAATAATGCAGGGCTGATATTGACATATTAGATACTTATATAATAATTGGACAGGATGGGAATATTTAACAGCAATAAGAATTTTTAAATTATTACTTAGTACAAAAGGTCGCAAAAGATTTTGAAGAGTATACTCGATTATTTACTCGATTTTCAAATTAAAATTCATTTAGTTCCATATAACAAGATCTATTTTGTTAATAGTAGACTTAAAATTTCGCTAGTGAAAAAGGTTATAATTTAGTAAACCACGAGAGGCATTCGGTCAGGACGGCGACAAACCAGGCCATGGTTATTTTGTTTTAGTCACCGTGCTGACGAAATGCCCCATCACAGGTACATCGACATCCTTAGCTATCATTTTAAGAATGGTGTTGTCACTTCCGCATACTATTTCCTATTGCCGCGACTTTCTTACCTATGATGGCATGGAAGTCATCAATTCATGCTAGTTACAGAAGGCGCTACAGAAGCGGGGAAGTCCCAACATCATCCTAGAAATATTATTGTACAGGACACGTTTCGTTACTCGAATTTTGTGTTCGTTTTTTTTGACAATACCGTCATTTCAGCGTACACTCCTTGTGTAAACTTTGTGTGACTCATGCGCTCATCTATGATAATTAATTATAGAATAATTTTCTTTACCACACTGTTAAAAATATCACTTGGTTTTACGGTAAGGAATTATAAGGAAGTAATATTTATAATAATAAAATGTAGGGTAACCAATTAGAGTGGTAATATTTATTTTTAAAATTTAAGCAATATAGATAGGAACAATAATAATGTACTCGGGATGGAGATTTAATTTTAGTACATAAATCAGTTTAAATATTTATCACCAGATCGATTGTATTCCTATATATAAAATCTACAATTTTCTATATAAAATTCTATAAAGCAAAGCTTATTTAGGATTGCTTTAGTAATTCAGTCAAGTGGTGAATAACTTCATGAAACACTGGACTAAATAGTTAGACTACTACACGACTATACTACTGTAGTTACGAGCATATTTACTTATGTTTTATTTTATCTATATAAAAATTTGCTAACACTTCGCATTGTTTACAACTTGTAGGTATTTATAAAATTCGCCATTTGACGTAATTACTGAAGTGTTTCTAAACTATTCATAATGATTGTTCTGGAAAACAATCACTGGTATTTATCGTTTATATAATACCGATTGTCATATGTCTAAATTTGTAAAATATTCCTGTTGTTTGCAACGGAAGAAATTTTGGATACACGTTGTAATTTCTTAACTTAAGAAATATGCATCCCCTATTTTTAAGACTGTGGGGTGAAGTTTCCGGAAATAACTTTTTATTGCTTGCATACGTCTTCAAATTCCAAATGTCGTGTTCCCAGCTCATGGAGTTTTGAGTCATATCCTCACGTAGCGTATAAAACTATATCTTTTGTAATAATCAATACTGATGTAGTGAAGGCGAGTATAATTCACTCGGAACTTACCGAGTGATGTAGCTATAACTTTGAATTTTATATTTAATAAATATAAAAATATTGTTTCCTTTTTTTACGTTATGGTGAAAAGAAATTAATTTAAATAATATTAAGACGAAAGCCTATCTGTTAATAGATAGTTTAAATATTTTTAATAATAAATTTATTAATTTTGTAACATGTTAATTAACAGTGATTGTGTTTATTGGAGCTGATGCTGATTTTACCAGTATGTCATTACTTTTTAATATATTCTATGGTATCGATTACACATCGATGCAGCGATGGATGCTTCCAGAATTAAATATTTTTACAAACTGTGTAGTTTGAATGGAAATACATATATAGGCCGGCAGCACACCTGCAATGCCGCTGGTGTTGCGGGTGATCATGGGCGGCGGTAGTCACTTACCATCAGGTGAGCCGCATGCTCGTTTGCTCCCTGTGTTGTAAAAAAAAAAAATTACATAAATTTTTTATGCATTTTACCCGTGAAGTAGTTATGCTTGCACGACTACGATTTGCGTTTATAGCAGTGAAGTTACAGGGCACGGAGGCATAATACTATAATCCTCAGTACTCAGAAATGATAACGCAAGTGAAAATTACCGTTTCAATCAAGCAGTCGGCAGCTTCATGCCATTCTAAGTCTCATAAAAAGTGTTTGCAAACTGTTTCAATTTAACAGGAACTGCAAATAAGGTTCATGGGGTTCTCAAAAATTTATTCAGGTCGTGCATGTTAACAGGTATCAGCGTGAGGCAGCGAGCTCCGGGGACGGGAAGCACACTCGGGGAGGGGAAAAGGGACGATAAGGAGGGGAATGGGGCGGGGGTGTGGAACTCATCAAACTAGTGCAGTAACTCTCAACTATGCACTAATACGACCCCCGAGCACGATGCGTGAATGGACCCTCGGCACGCCTCCGTCATAGGAATAAATAACGTGATACCGTGCCTCTGTTACACAGTCTAAAGACGGCCTAAAGCAGTGTTTTTTAATCTTTTTCATGACGCGACCCCCTTATTATGTAAAAATATCTTGCGACCCCCCATGGTTTCGAATGTGTATGAATTTTATTATAGTACAATTATGAAATCCGTATAGTAATATTTATATTCAAAATTTTTTTTGATGGGTGAAAATGGTATGGTAACCCCACCCTGCCTGCGCTAACGGGATACACTGACGGGGTACCAATGAATGGTGATCGATGAGAATGAAAACAGGCCAGTTAGCCCATCATGATGAATTCATGAGGAATTAACCACGATAGTTTCCAGGGGGAACCGCGAGGAGGTCGACCTGATTGGGTATATTGCTAGCAATGGGATTCTCAGTCTCCATCACTAACAATCCCTTTCCCCCCTTTATATTCACAATTAGGTATCGATAAAGTAAATAATACATAATAAAGTATCTAAAACAGCCATGTAATCGATGTCTGTTATAGATACTTCATTATGTATTATTGATTGATTGATGTATTTACGGAACTGTTGATTTTTCATTGCTTCGCGACCTTCTGTGACCCCCTTCTTGAGGCTCGGGGATCCTCAAGGGGTTGCAACCCACACACACACAAAAAAAAAACACTGGCCTAAAGGAACACCTTTAGGGAGTCTAGTACGTATTGTTTTAGTAACATAGTTGAATAGCGAGCAATTAGCAGTTGGACGTGTAAAAGCAAAATTTAGGTGTTTTTTTAATGGGATTAAAATGAAATATACCACCTACACTATTAATATATTCTGGTGGGATACCAATTAATGGCGATAGACGAGACTAAAGTCAGTAAAGAAGTTATCAGGAATTAACTACTTAATGGTAACTGCCTGGAGGAAGATTTGACAGAATATATTTATTTATTTATTTAAACTTTATTGACCAATAAAATGTGGTACAAAGCGCGGACTTTACCAGAGGGAGACTTTGTACAAAAGTCGATTGCTTGGGTACCTCTGTCCCATTCGTGTTTCAACTGTGAAACAGTTGTGTTTGCATGGCTGTGTTTCGGTTTGAAGGGTGGGATATGGCGTGAATTTACTGGGTACAGAGAAATAACATCCGAGTCCTCAGGAATGGCAACGCATGGGGGGTATCATGGGCGAAACAGTATACTCTGTTATGTCCATGGTACTGCTCATGTCTATAGATGACGGTTACCACTTTCCATCAGGTGGGCCGTCAGCTTGTTTGCCATTCTACGTTGTATAAAAAAAAAACTTAATGTTATAGGCATTCTCTACCAGTCAACCCAGGTTGGCAGAGATACTGGATGGCGGTTTAAAAAATAAAATTATTTATATTTTAGTATATAAAATGGTAATTATGTAATTACTAAATAATTATAAATTTATATACTTTTATATAATATTTATATATTAATACTTACATATAAAAATATAATATATTGCCATGGGGTAATCAGTTTTCATTACTAATAAGGTTATTTGTAGGACCACAGATTTTGGAATGGAATGTACTATTTTTTTTTATTTTGTGTAAATATTGGCTGGGAAATAATATCGATTAATAGTATTACTAAATACTGTCTGATGTCTGGTGGATGTACTTACGATTACACTAATAGTAAACGCGTAATGCTTTGATACGTGGCATGGAGGTCGGTTTTGTTTAGTCTACAGTTCGCAGGGCTCGCCGTCACGCATCATAAACACCCTGTGTCTAGGTTGACCCACAAGTTTACTGCACAGTAATTAATTAATTTCAAACAAGCTTCAAACATTGTGAAGGATTTCCATTAGCGACGACTGACTTCTGACAGTACCACAGCAGGAGTGACAGCCGAGCCAGTGAAATGAAATGCGTGACGTGTGTTTTGCGGGCTGAGAACTCTCGGTCGACTCCTAACTACACCAAACCTCCGAAGTAACTTTTTGAGATTGGGAGACATTAATCTTGCGTAAGGGTTTATTTATTAGCGTTGCAACTCTACATTTCTAATAGTTCCATTGTTATTTAAACTATAATGTAAAAATATGATGAAAATGTACTTACATAAAATGCCTGCCGAGATTTTCCCAAGTGACCACAGCATGGGGCTCTTCAGAAGGGAGGTAAAGAGGTTTCTTCAGGGTCGGCAACGCGCGTAATACCTCCGGTATTGCAGGCGTTCATAGGCTACGGTATCCACTTACCATCAGGTGGGCCGTATGTTTGATTTCCACCTCAGTGGTATAAAAAAAATAGCCAAGATAAAGATTGGTGGACAATTCCCATGAGTATTACCTAACTCTATTATTTCACCGGCGGAAGCTATGTCATTGTTATTTTCTTATCTCTTGAAAACTTCAAAATTATGGGTTGGAAGAAATATTTAGGGAGGGCAGTTGGTGGGGTACACGTCGCGGTATCAAACAGCACAAAAATCCCCGAAATTTTTTTTTTTTTTTACAACACAGGGGGCAAACGAGCATGCGGCTCACCTGATGGTAAGTGACTACCGCCGCCCATGATCACCCACAACACCAGCGGCATTGCAGGTGTGCTGCCGGCCTTTTAAAAAGGAATATACTCTTTTCTTGAAGGTTATGTTGTCGTATCGGTTCGGAAATACTGCTGCTGGAAGTTGATTCCAAAGAATGGTTGTGCGTGGAAGAAAGTGCCTTGAAAAACGCACGGTGGAAGACCGCCACTCGTCCAGATGATGGGGATGAAACTTTAGTTTGTGGCGGGTTGTACGGTGGTGAAAATCAGCAGCAGGTATCGGTCCGAACAATTCCTCAGAACACTCCCCATGATAAATTCGGTAGAAATGAAACAATGAGTACGAAATAATGACTATAATGTGAAAAAACTATTACAATTACATTACAATACAGTACTAAATATTTGAAATCTACAATGCTAGAAACAGCGTCATCTAGTATTAACGTTAGAATTAAAATAACAATAATTGTATTTCCGCACAAATCATTAAGTAAACCTAACAAACCCTTTGTAAATTACAAATACAAAAATATATAAACAATCAATGTATAAATAGTGGACTCAACAGCAGTTATTCCGCATTTTGTGTGGTACGATGTAAGCACTTACTAAAGATTTCTTCAACTAAAGAAGTTTCCTATAATTTTTAAAAGTCATCAATAGTACTGTAGGTTAGGTTGACGAGTAGAGAGACGTAATATGAAATTAAATGTTCCTTTTGAGACATATTGTGAAATGAATTAGGTTTTAAATAATTTCAATATAGTCATGTTACCATCCGTGTAAGTAATTAGGTATAAAAAATCAACAGAACAGCTAAATCCTTTGCGGTGTTCAGGACACCCGGTGTCGGATCTCGGTTCGGGTCTCGGGCGCGACACAGGCGGGAATAAATTGAAACGTGACGTCATTTGGGCTGTTTAAAGAATCTATTGTCGGCCGAACCTTTTTGTCCCTCGGGAGTCCCAAACTCACTTATTTCGGCGGAATACCTTACTTGCTTACTACCTATATCAGATATTCGTTTCCGCCCTAAAACAATTTGGAATCTATCGCCCGGGGACTAAGATCACTTTTCTTTTGGGCTGGACGAAAATATGTTGAAACGATATCATTAGGGAGAGGACGACAGCGGGCCGCGGGAGGGGTCCGATAAATCAAATAGAATCCTTTCAACTAGTATCTTTAAATGAGATGGTGAAATCATTTTGCATGTTAAAGTGTGTGATAGGGTGTGATGTTTCACATGTGTGCGTGGTCGCCAGGCGTCGCAGACACAGCGGGGTATCGCCAACACGTGTAATTCCGACCAAGTTCACTGTGATTTATCCTCATCTTATCCAATTTAGGAAATGGGAGCACATTTGGTAAAATATGAACCGAAAGATATGTCGACACATTTATTATACACATTTGTTGTAGCTGCTGTAGCGCTAAGTTACCTAATAAATATTATATTTTTGTTTTCTCAAAGTTTGGTTTTCATTTCACCTCGTAACTGTTGCGAGGATGCTTCCTGCATCTAACGAAGTTTATATTGCAAAGTTCTCAGGCGAAACTTTTTCACTGTGCTTTACTTTTCACTTTCAGTTCGTGTAGGAAGTATTTTGGATTTTGACCTGAATATGAATTCCTAGTTTGCTCAGTTTCAACAAAATTTATCGTGTAGTTCCTGCGTGATACATATTCTGATAAAATATCTATGAATACATATGAAAGTGAAAAGAAATTCCGTGCGCATTGCGCAACATAAATAAAATATTGTAGCCAGCATTTGATTTCCATCGCATCTTCTATGATAGTGCCCGGTGCAGCGGTAGGTAAAATGATATTTCTACCGTAGAAATGAAACGGAATACAATTT